GATGAAGGGAGACAAACACACAAACACAAAAACAGGAGTCCTGACACATAACTTTTCACGTTACCCTGTACACAGACCGACAGACAAATACACACACAAACAAAAAATATAGCCACTACATTGAAAATCTATGAATTTGTGAAAAAAGGCAGAATTTTCTCTCCTGTTGCAGATTCCTGTGCAGAATTGTTGTCCAACAATTAAACCCATTCTATTTTTCATCTGTTGCAGGAGTTCAGGGTGAGAGAGGCTGGTGCGTGACTTACTCTCCCTCACAGATCTGTGCCATAAAAGGCTCAACAGTGGATTTACAATGCAACTTTACATATCCATCCAAAATAGATAACATAGTTACAGTGGTTGAAAGCATAAAGTGGTTCACTAAAGGAACCGCCACTGCTCCCATAGATCTGAAAAATGACCCAGACTATGCAGGTCGTGTAGAGTATGGAACTGGCTGCACTGTGAGAATCAGGAATATTGGAGAGGCTGACTCTGCTTTCTACAAGATAAGGTTTAAAACAAATCACAAACATGGAATATATACAGGCGTTCCAGGTGTTAAGCTGTCTGTCTCTGGTAATATTCTTCATTTTTGATTTGATAATTTAACTTGATAAGTGATTCCATTAATTTAATTTCTGTTATGTTGTCTTGCATTCAGGCCTCAAGTTAAATGTGATCAAATCAGAGCGCAGAAATAATCATAATTGGACAAAGATGAAATGCAAAAGCAGTTGTCTGCCGGATCAACATCCCTACATCTGGATCAAGAACGGACAGGAAATTTTGGCAGAGAGCTCCTCAGTTTTTTCATATGAATTTCGTGATAAAGAGCACATTTCATGTGCTGCAAAAGGATATGAGAAGTTCCCCTCTCCATCAGTGTGTCAGTTGCCTTAAAATAATTTTGTACCATACACATCATCCATTTAGCTAATCTAATGGCCAAAAACCTAGGGCCAAACTTTGACCTGGATGACTGAGAACCTTCATCAGCCTAGGGCCAAATGGGCCAAAATCCCTCCTGCAGTGTGTTTAGACCTGGTGAAAAACTACAGGAACATTTGACCACTGTAATTGCAAACAAAGGCTACTGTACCAAATATTAACATTGATTTTCTCAGGTGTTCAAATACTTATTGACAGCTGTAACATACAAATAAATAAAAGAAGAGAAAAAAGGCTTATGTGGAAACAAGATAAGATAATTCAAGGAGAAATTCATATAAAAACATT